CAAAAAAAAAAAGGAACCCACTTGGTTTATCATGCATACAATAGATATACAACAAAAAAGATTAAAAAAAAAAGAAAGAAAGAAAGAAAGAAAGAAAAGAAAAAAGAAAGGAGGAAAGGAACTCACATCCACCACTGGGGTGCCTCCATGTTTAAGAATAGCCAATTTCCTTTGAAATGAGTTACCATGCATCTGTGACCAGAGAAGTTACTGAGCATAATATAAAGCAGTGAATTGCAATGACGCTATGTATAAAAAGGCACTTACAGCAGATTTGGAGAAGTCCCAAGAGAAAAAACGAGTGAAAAAGGTCGGTTCCCCCCCTTCATTGACAATATATATTGGGGTTTGAAGAGATAGATTCTCGTGAAGAAAATCACACTCCAGGAATTTCTGTTTTGAATACAATAGCACATATGGTGACATGTTAGAACTTGCTAACCATTTCAAATGTAAGGAGCCTCAAGAATCAAGATCCCAACTTCTATAATAGTGGGGCTACACCCAATTTAAGTAATAATAAGATGATTAATTCTGTAGAGTTTTGCTAAATTGACATATATTTATAAGCCACCAAATCCACCACCACACATACCAATAATAAACAAATCACAAAAACCTTAATCATCGGCCACTAGGAGAAAACTTAAGACTTAATTTTCAAAGAATTCAACACATCAAACCAAATGCAAATGCAAAATTACGATCAATTTACCAAAAGTTCAAAGCACAAAAACCTTCTAAACAAATTGCATTAATAAAAGGGTCTAGTCTATTATTAGATCTTTGGTTTCTGAAAGCCACAGCTTCAAGCATGTTGACTCATCACTAAGCAAAATGTAAGATGGTCTTCACAAGATACCGAAGCAAATTTCACATACGTATAATTGAAAAATGAAATCAAGTTAAACTTTACCTCTCCGATACTTAAAGCATTCATCTTATTCTTCGATTCCACATGTTGGCCGACCCACACATAAATATCTGATTGGCAGTCAAGAATGAATATATCTTCTGTCATTAGATCGTCCTGATTGAAATTATGAACCTCAGTCACCTGAAATAGAGATTATGATCCAAGGTCATGCCGTTGTGGGAGAGAAAAAAGAATGACAATTCACAGAGAGAGTATTGAGGTAGTAGTGTATTTCTAGTGTGTTTGCATGAAAACGTAGATGTCAAAGGGGTAAACACTCAAAACATCACTTCATTGCCAATGCAAGGTTTTTGGGCTCTCAGCTCCGTTACTCGAGATAAATGCAATGACAAACTAGCACAACTGATTGGTGAAGTTACTAATCAAACTGCATTTATGTTTTCTACTTATATTATAGCTGTATGAGATACATACCTTGAGATCTCCTGGACAGTGAGAAGTCCAGCAAGAATTACCACCCAAGCAAATGAATGAAGCATGTTAGTTGGATTCACACAATAAAGAAAACACAAAAAGAAAAAGAATCACAAAAACTGTATAATCAGTAACTAATATAAAATGCAGTACCCTTCGTTAAGGTGCAGGAGAATAGATGAGGATCACTTTCAGCTTTTCTTGCAATTTTCTGGCTTGGGTACTCGGATTTTCCACCTAACAAATCCCAAAACTGCTCAATCTCGGCACCTTCTTTTTGCAATTTAGATTGTGAGTTCGGCTGCAAATGCAAAGCAAGACAAGGACATGTTATGCATACTAAACAGTGAATTTTAAGCAACAGATATCCAACCACTCAACACGCCCTTTATTATTCAAACTACGCATTACTGATCAGATGGAAGAAACACATGAATACAATACATTTGAGTATCACGAAATCATTTGAGTTGGGATATCTACAGAAACTACACGACGTTTAATCTAATCACAAAACAATCAGTTGTTTTTTAAGAGAACAAATATCATTACAAATACCCCTTAAGGCATTTTTATTTATACAAATCACACCTCAAAATCATAAAGAGGCACATTTGTAATTGTGGAAGGTAACTTGGTTTTTGTGCAATTACGCTAAACTTCAAATGCGCTATACTACTCTATCTATACCATGCAACAAACTAAAAAGCCTTGGGTGATTTCATAATGTTTAGGAAATATAAACACAAGAGTGCCATACCCTTATAAGATCCAGCTGCCTTTCAGCGAGCTCTTGGGCTTCAGATGATGTAAGATTTCCTGACCAGATAAAGACAGTGGACCCACTATGTAGTATGTAACAGTAGGAAGAATTAAGCGATGAAGCCACCTGGATATATTAAAGGAACAGATTAATATTCTATTAGCTTCATTAAACGGAAAAGTTCACGCAGGGAAGACCTAGAAACGGGAATTTATATTCTATATGGTTCAATCGATGCTTTTGGAAATTTGAAAATTACGAGAGACCATAAACACAAATCAATATGCAACCAAATTCCAGTTGTTAATCTGATAGGGCGAATTAATACATAATAGAGCAGAGGACTTACAGGATCAACTTGAATGGCTTGCATATTTTCTGGTCCACTTCCTTGAACTCGAAACAGCGCAAGTCCATCTTCCGAGTATGTATCATCTTCAAGTTCCTTCTCGGAAATGTGATTTTTGTAGCCCTTACTAAGTCCACCCTGGACACAGACAGAAAAATAATAGCAATTAACAACATAAGAAATTCATGGCTGCCAACCAATATGTTAATATGAATTATGAGCTCATGACAAACTCCATGTAATTCTATTTCAGATCTTCCAAACCTTGAAGAGAATGAAGCTCTGAAAAATTGCAAAGAACTGGAGTGGTTCATTTCCTTCGTGGATGCAAACCTAGTAATATGCAGTAACAATTATCACACCAGGACAGAAGTTTGCATACAAGTAAAATCGAAATAAAGTTATCAAGGAAGGTAATGTACCTGAGTGGGTACAAACTTCAGAGATTCAACCATCTTGTTTGCCTGTGATACTGATGCTACCCTATCTTCCTATAGAGCATGATAAGCATGATCAGTAATCCCATCAATAAATCTTAATTGACTGCTAAAATGCAGAGTTGATGCGATATGAAGAATTTTTCCAAAAGACATTACTAGTTACAATGTTACATCGCTAATAAGCTATAACTTTTATCTCCACACAATTGCATAACGAAGAACATGCTCAAAAAGGCTGCAATCCTGAAATTTGTGGTTGCTAAAACTGACATATTGACTAGGCACAAGGTACAAGAAATTCAGGACGTAAACGAATGTGTCACCTCAATACTATGCTTCCCGAACCACGTGCCAATAAGATGTTCGTCTTTATCTTCTCCGGGATAAGAATATTGAAAGATATAGCAATCACCACTGTAAAATTTAGACTGATCGAAACCTGAAAGAAGAGTCCTCTGCTGACCATTCACACGCCATACCTGATATGAGTGGTGAATTGAAAACAGCAGTAGTTAACCAAGAAATGCAATTATTGATCATATGACAAGTTTTATGGCTCCAGAAAAATGACCACAAACAACCAAAAAACAAAATGAAAATGAATTCTTACAATTGCAATAGAAATCATTAGAGAAGTGTATCAAGGTTCAAGGACAGCAAATATGAGAGACATAAGATCTCAAAAATTAAAGGTCTTTCTTGTATCTTTCTTAATTATCCTTGATGCTATTGATTTGGAGATACCAGTATTTCCTTACTTCACCATTTTTCACAAATGCCACCTAGAGAGGTTATTTCCACCTCCATATACTAGTCATCTTATTTCCTTCTGTTTTCTAATTTAAGAAGCACAAGTTCTTCCATATTATATCCACTCCACAATTAATCATCAAATTCAAAACATTGCTTATGTTAGCCAAGTGATGGGGCTATTCCTGGATGTGAGCTAAAGAGAGACTTGGTGACTGGTTCTTAAAACCGAACTTATTAAAATGGTTCTGATATTCATATTTTATGAAAGATGCAAAAAACTTAAAGAAGAATAGATTTCCGTCTAGTTTGTTATTTAGCTTTCGGTCCAACTATTTCCAAAGAATTTATTTTCTTGAAGTGGATAATTTCTTTGAAATATCTGTTTCTCAATGTTGAATATTAAAAATAGAAACAAGAAATAAACCACTAATTTTTCGAACAGTATACGTAGAGAAGTAAACACAGCTGTCAGCAATCACCTTTAAATCCCCTGTGCAATCTATGTATAATTGAGTCTCTTCTTTAGGAGTTTCAGCTTTGAGAAGACCCTTCACATTTAAGCCTTGGCGCTTTAGAAGTGCTACAAGCATCAGATCAGACAGCATAATAAGAGCTTAAATAGTACAGGAAAATAGTCAGGACAACCATGACTACAGAAAGCAACCCAAGAAGAAGAAAGTATATTCGAGGGATAACTACAAAAGCTTTTAGCTTAAAAAAAAAAAAAATCTTTTTACAAAAAATAAATAAATAAATACAAAATGCCTCTTGAACATATTACAAAAACCTCAAGGTTCGTAGTTAGTTGGCTATCTTGAATGTGCAGCTTCCGTAAGAGAAACAAACGCCAAGGGGATATTTTTTATTTTGAAAAATAACTTAGTTTCAATATTTCTGGCAGTTAGACCAAACTTCAAGGTAAGTTTTGTAATTAATCCTAGTTTTTATATGACTCTGTTTCGAGGTACCAACTACCAAAATACTGCCTTATAAATTACTGACCTGCAACTTTCCCTCGACCCTCCTCAGACACCGTTACACTGACAGTTTGTGGCCATGAATTAAACTTAGAACGAAATGTCACAGTCTCAAACCCCTCAATCACACGGCTTACATGCGATTTGGCTCTATCTTGACCACGCAGTAATTCCTACATGAATGTAACAAAAATTGTACTAAATATAAAATCGGACAAGAATTCAGTTGAACATTCACTAAAGTTACTAAGCTTACGTCAACAGCGCTGCTTGCAGCTTTTCTTTGATTAAGAGAAGTATTTCTGCCCATCCAAATAAATAATTCCACACCACAGTCGAGAATAAAGCATTTATGTGTGTCTAGTAAATCCCTCGTCAAAGAATCTGCCTCAATTGGTAATGCCTCCCCCTTCTCCACACTTGACACAAGAGAAAATTATCAGAACCCACATATCAAATTTAGAAGGTTGCATTGTATATCAATAATAATATCAGCAAATTGATGCAATACCTATACTATCTACTCCAGGAGAACATCTAACTGTTTCTGTGATTGCATCATATATGCAGTTGAAGAAACTTTCTAAATGCACAAAACACATAACAGCCATGATGTTTAAGGAATCCATATAAACTGAAAATGATCAATTTGCTTCAGTTCAAATATACTGAACAAAAAGGAACATCAATTTCAATACCCGATCAACACACACAATGACAACGTAATCCAAGTTATGACACATGACGCAAGTGAGAAAGCAAAGTACTAAGAGGAAATTATATACCAGAAGAGCTTAGAAGGACCAGCATCAGTTATCTTCAGTTCATTAGCGGCTGTTTTCCTCGGAAGAGGCGCAAAGCCACCAAAGAAACCCCAAAACTCTCCTGTCTCAGCATCAGCCATTAGCCTTCCATCTTCTGCATTTTGATAAAAAAAATAACTTGAAGCACTCGTCAATCAGTTCACAAACTTAAGCAAAATAAATCAGCAACACAGTTACCGATAGCTGCTATTTCACATTTTCCATCATGATATGTATCTTTAATGTACTGAACAACTTCTAGCGCTTTAGCTCTCTCTTGAATGGATGAATTAGAACCATTGAATTGGAAAATTTTAGATGTTGTATCGAGAATAAAGATGTCGTCATGATTGAGAGAGGATCGAGCAAAAGGCACCTGCCAGATCATAATTATAAACAAGGATAGTGATATAGATATGTGTACTAAATAAAGAAAAAAAAAAAAACACTGACCTCTTTCACTTGAATAACATGCTTCCCTTTACAAACAAACAAACGAGTCTGATGTTCTTCGGCCTCAACATGCTTGAAGCCCGAAGCAACTCCACCTTCTTGAGCTATTATACATGGCTTAAAATAGGAAAGGAACTTCTCTGTCTCATGGCCTTGTAATTCACGGTATTGAACAGCACG